TGCTGGTGGGGGCTGCCGCCGGGGCGCGTGTCGGGGTGGCGGGGCCGTGGGGCGGCGAGGGGGCCGGGGGTCTCAGCTGGGGCTGCGGGTCGGGCTGGCTTCGGTGCTGTCGCTCACCAGGCATTCGTTGGACTTGAGGCTGGCCAGGGACTTGCAGCTGGGCAGGGAGGCCAGGGAGCCGCAGAGCCCCAGCATGGAGGGCGTGGGGTCCTTCCCTGTGGGCACAGAGCGGGGCGCCGGCGTCGCAGGGGGCTGCAGCCTCGCACCCCAGCCCTGCCGCGGGGGGACGGGGATGGGGACGGGAACCACCTCTCCGGGAGGGACCTGGGTGTCCTTGCACTCTTGGGACAGCATCCCTGGCATGGGGAGGGGACTGCTGGGGGGGGTCCAGACGCCTGGGTGTGTGTTGAGGGACATGCTGAGCCCCGCGGGGCACCCTACAGTGTGTGTGGGGGGTCTTACCCAAGGGCCCCCAGGGCTCGCCTTCGCGCTTGCCCTCGCCCAGGCGCTGGGAGTCGGAGCTGAGGCTGTTCTCGGCTGAGAGCTGGTCGGTGCTCACGAAGCTGTGCCTGCGGAGGGACGGCACTGAGCCCCCCCTGCGCCATGGCCCCCAGGGCCTGGACAGCCCCACCAGCCAGGGCCAGCCCTTCTCCCTGTCCCCTGCCCGGGGCAGACCCCCCCGGGGCGGGATGGGGTGCTGGGCGCAGGTCAGGGCAGCTCTGCCCCCGCCGGGGGGGGTTACCTCCTGTAGAGCTTGCTGTCCGAGCCGCTCTCGTTGCCGTTGAGGGTCCCCAGCGAGGGCCACTGGTTCACCAGGGGCGTCACCATCTCCTTGGAGAGCTGGGCCAGCTGTGGGTTCTCGCAGGGGATCAGCCCCGTCCTGCGGCAAAGGTGGGTGCTCAGCACCTGGCACAGCCGTGAGTGCCAGGGACCTGCCGGCCGACGCGGCCCGTGGGACATATGGGGCATCAGGGACCCACCACGTCCCACAGGGCATATGGGACACTGGGGACCCACCACGTCCCACAGGGCGTATGGGACACTGGGGACCCTCCATGTCTTACAGCACATATGGGGCACCTGGGTACCGGGTACCTGCCACCCATCACATCCCATGGGGCACATGGGACACTGGGGACCCACCGTGTCCCACAGGCCATATGGGGCACCCAGGCACTGGGAACCCACCACCCACCACACCCCACAGGGCATATGGGGTGCCAGGGACCCAGCACTCACCCTGCCCCTCAGGGTCAGTGGGGCACTGGGGACCCACCACCCACCCAGAGCCCATGGGATACCCAGGCTCCAGGGACCCCCCCCACCCACCGCGCCCAGCCAGGCCCGGCAGCAGCGGTGGGTCCCCACTCACAGCTGCTCCTGCAGCTCCAGGATGACGCCCTCCAGCTCCCTCTTCTCCAGCTGGTTCTGCACCATCACCTCCTCCAGGCGCAGCTTCAGCCGCTTGTTCTCCGCCTCCAGGTCCTTCAGCTGCGACTCCCGCAGCCGCACCAGCTCCTCCAGGTACCCCTGCGCGAGGCCGCCGTCAGCAGCGCCCCGCTGCCCCCGCCGGACCCCCCCATGTTCCCAGGGCCACCCAGGGTGACGAGGAGAGGGCTGGGTCCCCGCAGCAGTGGGACGAAGGGCTGGGGGTACCATCGGGCTGTGGGAGCAGCGGGGGGATGCTCCGGGCTGGAGCATCCCAGGGGGGTTGGTACCCGGCCAGCCCCATCCCGGCTCCCGGTACCTTTTGGGCATAAACGATGCGAAATTTCTGCTCCATCTTGCGCCACTTGTTGTACCAGCTGTCCTCATCGGTGACCAGGGGCAGGTAGGGGTGCTCGGGGGAGCTGTCCTCGCTCGTGCTGCTCTCCACGCTGCCCCGCTCCTCCTCCTCGCTCAGGTAGTCGTAGCTGGGGGGTGCGGGGGCTCAGCGGGGATGGCACCACGGTAGGGGGCTGGCACGCACGGGGGGAGCCCAGCTGAGCCCCACCGGGGTGCCGGGGAAGAGGCAGTGGGGTCCCCACCCCAGGCAGGGCACCCCGGCTCTTACCTCTGCGTGAACTTCAGGTAGGGCGTGTAGTCGATGACCACGGGCGTTTTACCGTCCATCACCTCGCCCTTTAGGCAGAAGCTGAGCCGCGGCAGGAGAAGGAGCAGAGGATCAGGGCAGCCCCGGGGGGGTGGGGGGGGGGCCAGTCAGGGCAGGGTGCCCGCCCCCCACCGTGCTGCCCACCCCTACCTGAAGTCGATGGCGCTGAGCCCGATGAGCATCCCCGTGAGCACCGTGGACTCCTCCCGCAGCATGATGGCCCCGTCATCGTAAAACCGCCTGCAGGGAAAAACATGGCTGCATGTGCACCCGCCGGCACCCCGAAACGCACCGCGGTGCCCACCCCGGTGCACCCGCACACCCTTAGCACTCCCGGGGCAGCGCAGGTGTGTGTGTGGCCGGGGCCGGCCGTGCCACGGGCTGCTCACCTGGTGGTCCGTGTGTCCCGCAGGGCCGTGGAGATGTACTCGGACATGCGCTTCTCCATCAGCGCCACGCGGATCCAGGCCCGACCCTGCAAGGCACCGCCCCGCGGGGCAGCCCTGAGGATGGGTGCCACCATCGGCTGCACGTCGGGTGCCACCCTCG